TGGTGAAAATGAAAAATGTGTCTTTTATGGAAAAAACCATACAGACTTTTTGGCCAACCCAAAATATGTTTATGTTGATAAATCCAGTGTATTACTTGTATGCGTTCATAATATAAATGTTGTAATACTAGCACTTTTTGATTCAGCAAGATATCTTGGAAATCTCTGCATGGTAGTGCATCTAGTTCTAGTTCATTTCTTTTGACTGCCGTGGAGTTATCATAGTCTGAGTATATTATATTTTCTGTAGTTCCCTATTTGTGGACGTTTAGTAGTTTCTCCTTTTTCTTCCTACAAATAATGCAGCAGTGAACATTCTTGAATAATCTTTCTTGGGCACAAATGCAAGAATTTCCCTAGAGCCAAAAGAAAGGAATGAAATTATTACATACAAGTATTTGAAACTAATTTTTAGAGATTAATTTTACATGAAAATTAATCTAGTGCTTATCCTCATTTCCTCTTGACCTTGTTTTCATAATATGTAACACGTTTTTTCTTTGCATTTTATTTTTCACCACTATGCTGATGATAAATTGACAACTCAGTGACAAAAATGAAATTTCTCTTTTTTAGCAAGTCCTGTTATTTTTGAATCATAGATGCTTTTGTGAGCATATCATTCGTAAGCTTATTTGTCTTTTAGAAGTGAAACATGACAAAGTAAAGAGTAGCATCCAGTGATGTGCTGTAGGGTTTGGCTCCCCCCCTTAAACTGTTTTCTGCTACCTCAAGAAAGAACAGGCCACAGAACGTGTCAGTAGAAATGCAATTTAGGAAGTGTACTTGATCTTGTTTTTCAGCCTAACATTTCTGTTCTTTCTTCATAAAGATCAGCTGCATTTTATTTTTTTTTTCAGTCCCTTAGAATAACATCCAGTTCTAGTCAGCATGTTTAATGTACTTCTCGATGTTCTAGCACAATAAATTTTCGTATCTCGTGCATGAGTACATATGGTAAAAATTTCTTCAAGTTCTAGCCATGTGGGGGAGGAATATTGCGGTCGCTTTGTTAATGCAGTGTTTGTGTTGGAGCGGTTAGGGCCCGGTGCTCTAACTCGCAGTGCTGGGCGTAATGAGATGGCTTTGATGGTGGCTTAAGAGACTAGAGGGATGGTCACAGCTTCACACTTCAAAGCCGAGCATATGGGGTGAATACTGGGTAGCTTTTTGCTCTTTGGAGATGGTTGGGAGACAATTCTTAACAACTCTGTTTAATGAAGACATTGGAAAAGAAATGCTCTATCTTTAAAATAATTTTGAATTGCAAAGAGAGATTTCCACCCCCCTTCCATAGACTAAACTAAGAATAAATTTTTCCCAGTCTGCACTTAATTAGAGGCAGTACAGCATCACAGTACTGTACTGTATTTTCACATGTCTTCTTTTTCAAAGTACTGTAGCAAGATTAATCGGCCAGCTTTATTTTAGGGATATGTATGAATTTAGGCAAAAACTTTTAGGGCTATCTGTTTTACCATCTGAGAAATTTTTGTGACTTCTGGTAGAGAATCTTTTTTTTCCCTCTTCTCATTAAAAAATACTAAATAAAAAAATCAAGTAAACACAAATCTTGGCTATATTAAGAGAGCTGTACTAAAACTAGAGGATGCTTGTAAGATTTCAAGTCTAGCACCCAGTTTAATTTTTAAATTCTGTGCTTTTTTACCTCTACTTCTTATTGAGTATGAGGTGATGGGTTTGAAAATACTCTTTTGATTGCTATGTAATTATGAAAAGATCTGATATTCTTTGGGGTATTTAATTAGAGTTCTGCTTTAAAATAAATAAGCCATACATTTATACTGTACGTGGGCAAGAGGAAAGACAATTTATCTGTTGTAGAGAAAAGGGAATGACAGGTTTGAGGTTTTTTCCTAGTTGTGCATTTTGGCTATCATGGAAAAATGTAACAAAAATTACCTTACCAGTTATGTTTCTTGAGCTGCTGAAATGCAATTCTGTTTAACAGCTAAATTTCAACTCCATTCACACCAGTAGTCCTAAATTGCTCCTACAAGAACAAAAGCAGAAGGGAAAAGGATATTCAATACCACTATAGACATGAAGTGTGTTAGTGGGAGGCAGGTTCTTAAATACTGTCTTCGCAGACTACTTTATTGTATATCCTCAACAAAATACTCTGTTGTGGTCACATCTATGTCTGTTATAGGCTCAGAGAAAAACATTTAGTTAAAAATATGAAGCTTAAACTTCTTATCACACAAAAAAATGTCTCATTGCTTTGATCCTCCTTTTGCAAAGAGGAATAATCAAACTCATAGAAGAGTCTAACGCTGACAGAAAATGATAAATATACCTGTATAGAAATAGCTAAATCATTGTTTAGTAAATAAGGTCAGCCAATCATGAAAGTTAAAATATATTTTAAAAATACTGTTATCGAATCAGCCTTTTCAGACTAAGTCTAGTGAAAATGGGAAGACCAGGACTATTACTAATAGTGGTTGGGAAAACTTGTCAAAAATAGAAGAAAAACTAAAAAGTATTATTCTTTTAATAAAAAACAATTTAGGAAGCTGCAGAGTTCTGCTTTGCCTATTTCAAGGTGGCATAGAGCATTATACTCTTCCAGCACAAGATAATTCAGATGCTTGTCCTATCTGACAGTACCGACTGGCTCAGGTAGCCACCGATACAGGTGGCTTTGACGGCTGTGGATGGGCTTTCTGTTCTGAGGACAGCTCACAAAACACAATGAACATGGTGGAAGACTGATCCCATGGTTCCTCACCAAGGTACATTGTACGCCCACTGGTGTTAAACCCGGGCCCCTTTTTGTCAGCGGAGTGACCTCCTTACTCTCACTTGTAGGTTTTGGAGGCACTGCTGTTCCAGGTTTGCGGAGCCCAACATCTGCAAAATGCTCAGGAACCAAACTCAATTCATTCAACTTAACAAACCTTAATTGTTCAGGGAGCTTGAAGCCTAGATGGAGAAACAGAAGTGCGTGATTAACTATGTAATCTAAATAGATTAGATTTGATGTTATAGCCAATAAAAGCTGTAAAATACTACACAAACACAAGAGAGGAAGAAATGACTGTCAGTGGAGGGAAAGCACAGTTATAAAGCAAGGATTAGTTCAGTAGTTCTAGTTTCTTGGTAATCGTTGAAAATGCACCAAGTCCCTGCTCGGGAAATGCTTGGCTCCACTGTAGGAGGGAGACATACCTTCATAGGAAATGAACACAGAGCTGTTGCTTTAAATAATGTTTGTTTCTCACAGGCCTGAGCTTGAAGTACTCAGAATTTTTATCTTCTTTAAAAGGCCTATTTATTTGCATGATGTGAGCATTTGAAATTACATGGAATGATTGCTGCATAGATTAATTGTGAAAATAAAATGATAAAATTGAAACAAGCCTTTTTGAATATGGAATTTATATCACAAATAAAATAGCTTGCTAGTAAGTATTCTTCTGACTAAATCTGAGGCATAGAATTACATGAATTAAATGCTAATTCTTTGGTACCATGTAATACCCAGTGTATAATCCAGGCAAATGTCTTTCTATGATGGGTTTATATAAATCTGGATCTGCATATGGTTCACACGGTTCATTAATTGTTTTCTTTTTTTTTAATCTTTTAAAAAAAATTTTTTTTAAGATTTTATTTATTTATTTTTAGAGAGGGAAGGAAGGGAGAGAGAGAGAGAGAGAGAGAGAGAGAGAGAGAGAGAATAAAACATCAATGTGCGGTTGCTGGGGCTTATGGCCTGCAACCCAGGCATGTACCCTGGCTGGGAATCGAACCTGGGACACTTTGGTTCCCAGCCCGCGCTCAATCCACTGAGCTACGCCAACCAGGGCTTGTTTTCTTTCTTTTTTTATTATTGAATCATTTTTAAATTGTTATTCTATTACAGCTGTCCCAATTTCCCCCTTTTGCCCTCCTCAGCCCATCCCACCCCCCACTCAATCCCTACACTGTTGTCCATGTCCCTGGGTCATTCATACATGTTCTTCATCCAGTCCCTTCCCCTTTTTTCCCCCATCATCCCCGTCCCCTCTGGTCACTCTCAGTCTGTTCCATGTTTCCTTGCCTGTGGTTCTGTTTTGTTTGTTACTTTATTTTGTTCATTATTTCTGTCTCTTTATATCTAAACCTGTTCCCCTACCCTGACACTCCTTTTCCTCCCATTCACTGGTTTCGGAAACTGCTTTCAAATACTTCAGTAAAACCAAAGGGAAAAAGAGGAAGATAAAGAGAGAAATAGAAAAGGAAAGGAAGTAAAGGAAAAAGAAAGAAAAGAAACTAACCCACAGAATAGATGGAGAGGTGAAGAGCAGATGAACTAGGGAGAGCGCCTAGCACAACGCACTCAGTCCGTGCTAACTGTATCTCCCCTCCGCAAGCCTCCTGCACTGTTCTGACTTCTGAAAAGTCTAAAGCACCTCCCTGGACCTGTACGTCCCTGCTTACCAGAAATCCGTGTATATTTTAACGATACTCCTCTTCCATTATCTCTTCCCTACAAACTCATGATGGAAGGAATCACGCTTAATTTTTGTTCTCTAATGAAGCAAGAAAATTATTTTTCATTATTCTCATACCATAAAAAGACAACCAAAATCTAATTTATATTTAGAAATAGAGACACTACACTACAGTCTTTATACTCAAGGAAATAACATTTCAGGTAGGTATTTGTAATTTCCCTTGTGAAATTAGATTTGTAATGGCTTAGAAATTCTAAGCATCCTTGTACAAAGACAAACTTTTATTATGAGACTAACTTCACGGGAAAATAAATTATGCTCAAACCTTGATGCATAAACTGAGTATGAATTATATGCTTCAGTGGTAACGCAATGATGGGAACGTACTTAATGCCACTGAATTTTACCCTTAGAATTTTTAAAATGGTAAATTTTGTGTTAACTATATTTACCATGATAAAAAAGTTATGTGCTTTATTTTCTCCTACTGGGATGATGTTAATGTAACTTTGTAAAATCTCCCACTACCCACAGGCCTCGCCGAGAGTCTGGTCCTGCACGTTCCGGGCAGCAGTGTGTTTCTCTTTGGGGAGGCTGACCTGCCCGGGAAGCGCACGCTCGTCCAGAGAAGGAAGCAGCTGGGCTGGTTCACAAGGAGGGATTTCAGTGCTCTGGAGCCTGACCTGGGAGCCACGCCTGCCCGGAGATGTGGTTTAACAGGTTCTCAGTGTCGTTTTGTTCTGCTTTTGTTTTTAAACTTGATAATAGAATCCTGAGATCCCTTTAATTTGAACCTTCCTGTATAATGTAGGTTACAGCTGGGACTCCGTAGCGAATTGAGTGAGGCTCTCTCTCAGCTCTTACTCTCCCCTAGGATTTCATAAGCTGACCAGAGAGGTTAGAAGCCCTTCTCAGATATTCAGTGAAAGTCTCTTGCAGAGTGATATTCAAGATACACAATGAGCCTTGCAGCACAGACGTTGATGATAAGAGTGGCTGTAATTCCCGACCCTGGGGTAGAATCCCAGAGGCCTGCTGCTGTGCCAGGTGTGAGCTTGTATCTGGGGTGTGGTGGGGACACTTGAGGGGTAGAGGTCACTTTTAGCTGGTAGGAAAGTTGCTCAGAACTTGACCAGTGTGGTCAAGTTGATACATATAGCTGGAAATTAGTTCTACAGGCAGCTGGGGAAAAGCTTCTCTAGACAGCAGGCTTCTAGAACAGAGGGAACACACACCCAGAATGGTCTCCCTTCCCCTGGATCTCATCAGTTCCAGCCTCTCTGCTACTCCAGCCTCCCCTGTGTGGGGGGCTCACCATAGGAGCAGGCAGCAGCACCCCTCCCCAAAGCTCCAGCCCCGCTGCCAGCCCTTCACCACCCTGGTGCCATTTATTTGAGCTTTCATTCTTTCGTTCTCAAGTATCTTCTGCAGGCGTTGCAACTTCAGCCATGTTCAGTAATGTTTTGGTAGTCAGTTAGTAAGTTAATACCTTAGCAGTGACAAAAATACTGGATACCCAAGAGGTGGGCAGGCATAAGAAACACCTTTCCTCACAGCACAGCTTGGCTGCAGTTGCACCAAAGCCTTCAGTCACTAACCCCTGCTACAGAATCTGCCTTCAAACAAATGGTGTCTATAATTGAGTAGAGGAGAGCCCTGGAAAAAAATCACAGGCTTTGAGGCTGTGCTTGAATCCTGGCCTTCCTGTTTATTGGCTGTGTGACCATTAAGTTCCTTAATTTCAAGCCTCAGTTCCCATATCTATGAAACGGACATAGTAGTCGTACCTCCCTCATGAGAGTGTGAAATTGAAATAATGTCTGCTAAGTGCCGAACGCAGTACTAAAGGCCCATCTTTTTCTCCTCTGCAGAGAGGAGGTATTTAAAAAAGTGATTATAAGGGTGTCTCAGTATGTAGTTATGGAAAAAAGGAAGAAACTGATTGCTCCCTGCCAATTTGAACCTAACGTATTTTCCCATGATTTGTCTCACAAGTGTAGAAGTCTAAGTTTTGTGACTAAATTCTCAGAAATCTAGTTCCTGGTTTCTAATTAGAGCCTCACTGAAGACCGAAGGGATTATACCACAGACCCAGCCAGCGCAGTGCCCGGTGACTGAGATCGGTCAGTGGACAGGAATTAGAAATGGGGATCCTGGTGTTAGATTACGGCAGAGCTGGCTTTAGCATTAGGTGAGGCAAGCCCCCCAAAAAACCCACTTCTCATTGTTACAGTGCTGTGAGAATGAATGGGTTGGTGTTTGAGAAGAACTTGAACCTTATATAAAAAGTGTATTTGAGTTAAAGACCAAATCTTCAAAACTGGCACAAAAATGTTTAAAGATGGACTTTTAAAGGCAATATTTGAGACAGGTAAAGATGTAGTTACAGGCATTCTTACTGCTAATGGTACTGTCAGTTGGCTTAAAGCCTTTAGAAGTGAGTTGGTGATATGCACCAAAAGCTCTAAAAACATATATAGCCTTCTGACAGAGGTTCCATTTCTAGTGATAAATCCTAAAGAAATAACAAAAGGCACATGTACTTATGTACAAGTATATTTATCAGAGCATGACTTACAATAGCAAATACTGGAAACATTATAGATGTTCAATAGTTGAGAATGATTAAATAAACCTAAACGAAAGATGGTTATGCAAGCAATTAAGCATGGTATTGTGGAAGAGTTGTTGGAGACATGGAAAATATGATACAGTGTAGAGAGAATTTGTAGTTAATTAATGCAACAAATATTTGTTAAGCACTCAGTATGCACTAGGCATTATGATCAGTAGGCAAAATAGAATTTATATGTCCTCAAAGAATTTATATTCCACTGGGCAGGGGGGTGAGGAGATAGACAATAAACAATAAATTTAATAAATAATAAATTACATAGCATGTTAGAAAATGATAAGTGCTATAGCCAAAAAAAAAAAATCATGACTTCTGGGACAGGGCGAGCTGAGATTTGAAATGGTGTAATCTGAAGCAGGCAGGCCTCACGGTGACGGTGGCGGCAGCTTTGGAGCCCAGGCAGGGAGTGGAGGCCATTAGCCATGTGCAGATGCGGACAAGCCTTTCAGGCAGAGGGAGGAGCCAGGGTCAAGGCCAAAGAACATAAAGTAGTACGAACAGTATTATCTCAATGTTGTAAAATGCATATGCATATATTTTATTGCTCTCATATATTTATAAGAAAAACATTTTAAATTTTGTAATGCTTCCAACATATTTTCATGGTTTCTCTAAATTGAGCTTGTGATTGTCTATTATCTTTCATGAAGAAGGGTAGTTATTGTTTTAAAGATTCCATTTATTTATTTTTAGAGAGAGGGGAAGGGAAGGAGAAAGAGAGGGAGAGAAATATTGATGTGTGAGAGAAACATCGACCATTTGCCTCTCATGCACCCCTAACTGGGCACCTGGCTGGTGCTCAAGTCATGGAGCGACCCTGGCCAGGGCTCAGGAAGAACAATTATCAATGTTTATCAGTGGTCAGTTTGATAAAAGCTGTGTTTCTATGTATTTGTTCAGACTGAAATCCATGGGAGATTTAAGATGAGAAGAAAAAAGCATAGCTGCTATTTCTGCATGTGTCTTTTTGGACAGTATCTCCTGACAAGTGGTAGGAGCCTTAGTTTGTGCAAAACCCATAAAAATGTAATTAAGAGTTCCTAAGGTTAGGCATATGTTCGTCCAGAGGCCCTTCATCTAATAGGCTCAAAACAGGTGCTAATAGCAGAAAAACGAAATGTTTCAAGGTGGAATAGTGACTAAGGGATGTGGATAAACAATTTGTTTCTAGTATTTCACTAACTGGATTGGAATTCAAGTTTAAGGTATGTGATCACCCCAAATCTTAGGTTGCCTTACTTGTCCAAATTCTCCCTTAAAATGCTTTCATTTTTAAAGTACTATCTCTTGAGGTAGAATTTATAACAAACACCTCTGTCGTTAGGATATAAATGTTAGTCATCTAATTTTTTAATGCACTTAGTTTCCAACAATGGTGAATTCCCTTATTTTAAAATTTAATGGCTTTCTATTTTTCTAACTTTTTTAAAGTTATATCAGTGTTTCTCAACAAGTTTTTCCACTTCTCCCATCAAAACAGAAAAGCCTCAGCACATTGTTGCTGTTTATTTCTTTTCCCAAGAAAAAAATTAAATAGAAACGATTGGTGCTATCAACTGGACACTTCCAGCTGACTTTCCAGTGACAAATTAATCTCCACAGTGCCCGAGAGGAAGCAGATTTATAGGGGAACAGGTTTCTGTTTTGAAGTTCCCTACGAATATTATAAACAGAAGAGAAAAAAAAAGTGAGCTCAGAAATGACTAACACTCTCAGTCAGTGCCAAACAGACAAAATCTTTTAAACCAAATTCCTTTTAAAAGTTGTAGTTGGCCAGCTCGTGGGGAACATAAATTAGGGCAAAGCGGTAATAGTTGATACTTTTAGACCTATAAATAAATACTTTATACATATATATTTAAAAACCCTAAACATTTATGGGATAATTTAAACACTGCTGGCTGATATGTTATGTGAATGGTCTGCATATACTATATGCATCATTGTTTAAAAATACAGGGACAGTTCTTTGAACTACACAGTTTCATATGGTGCTTTAGGAATCATAGATGGAGGTAATTGGTACATCTTGGAATCAGGGACTTCTGTTTAGTTACTTAAATAAATGGGTTACTGAGAGCTGCCCCCTACTACTTCTCTCTCTGTAAATAAGAAGTACAGCATCATCAGGCACTTTTCCTGACATTGAATAATACAATTTACTCCACATCAAAACTCTTATTTAGTCTTTGAAAAATAATAGCCTGTTCTAGAATGAGTCTTTTAAGTTTTAAGGAACTTACTTTCATAATTTTCTGTTTGATGGTAAATCCCATTGGGATGATGGGAAGTGAAAGTCTCAACGTGTAATTAAATATGTAACCTGTAAAGGACACACGAAGGACCAAGGCGCTGAACTAGTGAGGGACACTGTTCTACTACGGAAAATGTGGGAGCAGGCAAGTTATCTGAGGCTTCCTTCCCCTGGGCTGGCTTCATTCCATGGCAATGTTAGTGTGTACCTACTTAGGCAATTTCCTCTCAATAAATTAGAGCCGTTCTGAAGGATTTTCAAAGTTGAGAAATGGAGACTCGTAATTTCTTGCAGGGCAAGAAAACATCATAGCCATTTGGCAGAACAGCTGAGCCAAGGCAATGTCCCGAAGAGGTGGAACCTGAGTTCAGATCGCTGGGTGCCACTCCCAGCGCTGGGCCGCATGGTTCTTGCTTAACTTTCTTCCCTGTAGACCTGGCCGCGTGCATGGAGGAGTCCTGCATTCTTCCTGCCACGGGAGCGTGGGACTTAGCAATTTTGTTTGAGTTTTACGACTTTAGTCATCAAATGTCCTGTTCAGCTGTGGTTTCTTTTTAGCACATGTTCTAAAAAGAATTTAAAGTACCAATATATAATGATGACTAATTGCTTTTGGTGTAATAACTATATTTTTGAGCCTGACTTCCAAGTCTGATTCCTTGCTGACTTTGTTACTCTGAAGCAAAGACCACTTGTAAGCTAGGTTGTATCTTATTTTAACCTTCTTCATGTTTTTATACCCAGCAACCTGCATGGTTCCTGACACTCAGCGGGTTTTCAGTAAAAACACATTTAGTGAGGGAGTTGCACATTGGTCCACAAGAATCTCTCTAGTTATTCAAACCATAATGTAATCCACAAATTCGAAGTTCTCTCATCAGATATAAAAATGCCAGATACACCAAAACCCCACCTCAGCTCTCTGCTCATGTGTTTTTTAATATAGCCACCAAAGAAGAGCTTAGTATAACAAGCAGAATTTCTAAAGACATCCCTAAGCAGCTTCTGACCTGCTGAAATGAGACTCTTTCTATGGAGGAAAATATATAGAATTGCTTCACATTTAATTGATTGAAGATGATGGTACTTGGAACTATTTTTGAGAATAATTTTGACCTAAAGGGAAAAAAAGGACATGTGTTTCTTCTGAGTGCTGTTTTTTCATTGTTCTAATGGGCTCTTCACTATTGTTTTGTCTGAATGCAGTTTTTTATTTGTGTTATTCCAGACGTGGTCCTACCACAAGCATCTTTAAACCAGACATTAATAGCATAGTTCACAGTCATTACTGCCAGTGCTCAAACACAAATATTGCATTTGTGTTTGCAAAAGCTACACATCAGATGTTAATTAAGTGCATTTTTTTTCCTGCTTAAACAATCTGGCATAAAGAGTTTACATCTATATCAGTTCACCATAAGGTCTCTACAATATCTGAGTCACCAGTGTACAGTATACGATAAATACCGTGTTTCCATACAAGAAAATAGCAGCATTGTTAGGAAAACATCAGGCCTGTTGTATTTCCCTGTGAAATAATAGGAACTGGATCTCAGTTTCTTTTTCTTTTTGATAAAAAAAGTGTTTAACGAGGAGTAAACACCAATATTTAGAATGATAAATTTTTCATTAAAGAGCACATGGAAAGTGATATCATACCAAAGATTTTTTCCTTGTTTTTAGCTTGCTTCAGGGCGTTGTGACAGTTGCGTGGGAATAAAATTGGCATTTGAGTTTTGCAGAGAGGAGGAGATGCTGCCGCTGGAGCAGCGAGTGCCAACCTGCAGGCGGCGGGAGCGGACGGAACCGCAAACTGAGAAACAAACCTTCACATCAGGTTTCTGATTTTAAAGCAAAAAATGGAATTACTTTAATTATACGACATTTACCTAGAAATACAATTTGCTGGGATTAATTATCTTCCTTATTTAAAAATTTTTGCTAAGTTTAAATTAGCATAAAGAATCAAATTCAGCATTTGAATAAGGTCAACGCAACTACTGGGTTTGAATGCAGAGTCTGATTCATTAGACTTGGACCCACATCCTGGTGCGGGACTGGGGCAGAGCAAATGGGGGAAGTTGGGGAGGCATGCCTTTGGGTAGAAAGTAGTTTTCTTTTCCTCCTTTACTTGCTTCCTCCCTCCCTCCCTCCCACCTTGCCTCCCTCCTGCCCTTCCTTCCAAGGGAGAAATGGGTCGTGGCCTCATAATCCCTCTGGAAGGAAACTACTGCCTGATTAGGTCAGAAAACTTCTCAGATTTATTGGTCGTTTCTGTCTATTCACTGCTCACATAAGATATAGCAATGAAACAAATTAAATTTGTGTAATTAAAGTTTGATAGAATTAAAATACATATAGCAATGGTATACATGAAAAATCATTCTGTGTTAATTTTAATTAATTAATTTCTCTTATTTTATTTAAAAGAGAAAAGTTACTTCTGATGTTTAATTTTATTTTTCTAAAAAAATTAACTTTTAAGTATGCTTTTGAAGGCATTTTAAAAATAGGGTTATTTTTAAAATTAAGCACATCAGTGTTGGGACAAGTGTATCCTTTATCAGACTCTTGTGCTCTGGGCTTAAGATCTAAACTTTGTCCATCTTCAATAATTTAACTTAGGCAGTGCATTCATTTACTAACAAGAATGATCACCTTTGGAAATCCTACTAAAAAAGGGACAGTTACTGTGCGTGTGGTCAAAGGTGCCTCCGAGTGTGCTGGGTGTGGGGTTCAGGAAGCGCCCTGTGGCTGTAGGGTTGGAGTGGGCGATGGCGTTGTAGTGCGGGGAGGAAGAGCCTTGGGTCCGTGTGGTTTGCCCCCTCAAGCCGACAGATTGCATGTGAATATCTGAGTCTTGATTGGGCATATCAAAGTTCTAAAATAGCAACAGGCCCACTATGTATTTTGAATAGTTGTGCTTACTGTAACCCAGTATACGTTCATGCTCTTCAGCAAAACATGAGTGAGATTGTTGGAGTGATGGCAAAGATGAGGTCACTTTTGGAATCAGAATAGCGTATGTATTCAGATTTGAGGAAATGGGACTATTTGTAACATTACCTGTTGAGGGGTGCAGGAGAGAGAAAAACCATGCTTGGATGTTTTCCATTAATGAATGACATTAGCATTGACAAAAAATTGTTTTCCAATGTACTCTGTGAAATGTTAAAACTGATACACTTCTCAAAGATATTTAGAGTAAGTGATTGGTGTATGAGATTATGAGATAGAGATGTATTGACTGTTAGGAAATTTAATTTTTATGAAATCAGCATTATGGAGAAATACTGTAATCTGATTCATTTCTGCAGAATTCCCAGTAGAAAGAGGCCCAGCCTCGGGAGTTGAAATGTTTCATTATGTGTACATGTGTGGGAACAAATGAAATGTGATTTTCATGTGCTGATTTTCTGTAAAACATCTATTAGTATGAGAGTGCCTAGGCTAAGGCAGCAAAGCCCCCAAAACCACGGCTGTCTAGGCGAAAGTGAACCCAGAAGGATACTGACATCATGAGCAATAAGCTTGAAAGTAGCAAGAAAAAGCTATGACAGTAACATAATGTTGAAATAGCAGTGAAGGAATTGTCATATGCTGAAGATGAGGTCAGCCTTTTGTCTCCCATCAATCCCTAATCAACTTTGCTTTCAGAAATGGAAGGTTGCCCCAAAATGAAGAAACTGCAAACCTAAGCTTTTTATACCAATGCTAATTTAACCAAGTTGTTCATCTTATAATATAAACTATAATTAGAGCAGGGCTATTTATGTAACATGAGCTGCACCACTTTTGAGGCAAGAAAAAGAAGGACATTTGCCCCTGGGCTCTAAAGTAACAGGGCTTTCAGTGGCATCGGCAGCCCCAGGCCCTGGAGAAGCTGGGGTGATAGAAAGAGGTGCCTCCGGCAGGGCAGGCCAAAGATGGTTCGCACAGTGCTCCAGACCCCGCCAAGCCCACATTCTCACGAGGCGCAGAGGTCTTCTCCCTCCCCAGTTTCAAGACTGTTTGTCACTCTTTAGTGACCTCCGTCCCTATCCAAGACTCTTGTTGAGATTTATTTGAATTGGGTGTTAACCTAACTCAGTGATAACAGGTGTGTGTTTGGAGAGGAAGGGATGGCTACAGAGTGGGATTTATTCCTGTTTTCTACACCCTTACGCCTGATGCTGAATTCCAACTCTTGTGGAGATAATCCTTGGAAATGAGTGAAAGGCCAAGGCTTTTTGCTGCTGTTGATATTTAATACTAAAGTGTGCTTTCCTTTTTCTGTTTCTATTTTGGAAAGTCTGAATCTTCTCAATTATTGTAGGAAAAAACAACCTTCAGATACTTTCAGAGTAGATAAAAGTTTCTGCTTGTAGCTCAAGTAACTCTATTATAAAACATATATACATATACGAAGTCTGTCCGGAAAAAGTACAACCATTGTTAATATGATGAGAACAATCTGTGTGACATCGATGTAGCCTGGCAGCCAAGGCGAGTGGACTGGAATGTGCATGCGTGAACAATGATGACTTCGCTGTACTAGTCAGTGGGGGCAGTAGACGCTGTTGAGTGAGCATGTATAGTGTGTGGTTGTTGCATTCAAAATGACTGAGTGAGTATTACAATGAATTTGCATCAGATTTTGTGTTCAGTTTGAACACTCCTTTGTGGAAACTATTCAGATGATTCAGAAGGCCGAAACTATAAGCAGGCAGTGACTGGCAGCTTCATCATGACAGTGTGCCCACTCATGCATCCCATCTCGTGCAGAGTTTTTTGGTGAAACATCAAACCACCCAGGTGACGCAGTCTCCCTACAGTCCAGATTTGGCACCCTGTGACTTCTGACTTTTCCCAGAACTAAGATCACCTTTGAAGGGGGAAAGATTTTAGACTGCCAGTGAGATTCAGGATACTATGAAGGGGCAGCTGATGGAAAATGGGAGAACTGTGTGAGGTCCCAAGGTGCCTACTTTGAAGGGGACTGAGGCAGCATTGTCCTATATACAGTGTTTCTTGTATCCTGTATTTTTTTCAATAAATATCTCTATTTTTCATATTACATGGCTGGATACCTTCTGGACAGACCTCATATATAAAACCTTTATGAAATTCTGGAGTTGATAATGAGATGCATCTGTATTATTTTAAAATAAAACCAAGTAAAGCTAGCTCCTTAGATTAAAATTGGCTAAAGAATAGAAATTCAGAAGGAGTTTTTTGCTTTGGTTGATTAACATTTTCAATGATTTAGGCATCGGCGCCAGCCCATATGTGATGAACTGCAATGTCACCATAGACTCTCAAGACTTGGCTTTGGGAAAAGAGATTGCCAGTGCCATTCGGGGCTCCAATGCAAATGGACTGAAGGGCGTCCAAGCGATGGCTTTTCCCCATGAAGGGAAAATTGAGATAGCGTGCAATGTAGAGAATTTTGAAGACCAAGAAGCTACAGAAACCTCAGAAGATTCACGATACATGGCTTACAGTGTCCTTGGCAACCGCTTTTCTTATGTATCTCCTCATTACATAGAAGCTCAAGTTAAAAAGTTGGCGGGTGATCAAGGAATTGGTACTGTAGGGAGAGCATTGATTGGATTTACACCCCAAGAGTGCAAGAACTGTGCTGAATATGCTATAAAGGGAAGTATTGGAGAATTCTGGAAGATACGGGGAGGTGTTTTCATGTGATCCAGTTTAAGGATTCATGGACATTTTAAGGAAGAACATCAACCATTACAAAATTAATTTTTGGCCATTGAAGATGAGGGGAAGATACAAAAAGCTTGGTTTTAGCTTCATACTGGAAAATTAGAAACATTCTTTGTTCAATAACCCGTCTTTATAGATCATTCGTAATTGCCCTGTGATATTTCTCGTCATTAAAACTCCCTAAGAACATGTTCTGTATCAAGTTTATGCACTTGGGTGCATTAGAAGCCTTCCTGAGTCAGCTGGGTAATATGGCCATGGTTGCTGAACCACCTTTAATTACTGTGAGCAAAACCAAAACTGGACTCGATTCCCTTGGTTTCCCCGAAGTCTTTATTCCCAAGTTCTGTATTCAATTTTCATTTGTCAAGTCATCATTTTCTAACATGTACTTTAAAAAATCAAGTACTAAGTGACTAAAAAGTGAAAAGAATTATAAAATAAAATTATTCTTTCAAAGCATGATTTTTTTTTGCCATCCCACTTTTGGGAAGACCTGTTGTTTATTCCAGAAATAACTCCAAAAACCCAATTTTTCTAATTTCTTAATGTTTATATAGGGAGATGGGATGGTGGTGTTGGGCATGGCTTATCCTTTTTGGAATTTAAATGGAAACTCTGAAAATTTAGGGAATATATTGCTTTTGAGCAAAGAGAAGAGTATCAGTGGAAGAATTTTATTTGAAAGAAATTAAAATATGTAGTCACCTTATGAACTGAAAGAAGCCACTTGTTTTATCTGGCAATTTTATGTAAATCTTTAGTATTTAAATTGCTTTAGTACAAGGTACTTTTTAATCACAAAGCACAAAGAAATGAATTTTTTCGTTGATTTTGTTTAGCAAGAAAGATTATGGTCTTTCCAAATAAGAGCACATAATGGGAATTTATTTTAAGGAATTAAAAATGAAAAAGAGATTGGACTCAAATATTTTTATAGGATCTAGTAATCTAGCTTAATATTGTTTCACTTACATTTGACTCTTGAATTTGATTGTATTAATTTTATTCCAGAATTATGCTTCTTTGGTGTTTTCTTTTTGCTGTCAACGTAAATACCTAAAAGATATAGAAATGCTGGACTAGGTTTGGTTTTCAGGCACAAGGAAGTTTACTTGCTGTGGTGGCGAGAGCTGCGAGAGCGGAGACACGGTGGCGCCTGGTTCTTCTGCGGCTTTGGCGGAGGCCGTGGAGCCTCGCGGAACAAGCACGGGACAGTGGATTGGCGGCCTTGGGTTCCAGTCTCTGCTCTGACCTTACTTGTAGCCATAGTTCCATCACCTATAGAAGAGAGAGAAGATTTCTCGCCTCAACCACAGGCTGTATTCTAGGGAACTAGAGGGAAGTACTTTGTAAGCTGAAACGTGAAAAGGAAACATATTGCTAATACCCTTTCCATATCTATTCTCGAGTTACGGGCATCAGTGTTCAACAGATGAGACGTAAAAGCACATGGTACACTGAGTTGTGTGGGGTTGTAAGAGCATTTGATTCATTTGCCAGTTACCTGAATTAGCCTCCCAGGTTCCTTTCACTGCATTCCAGGGTTCTGGCTTTGCGCAAGGCCCGTTTAAAACAGGATCATCTATTTAATAGGTACAGGGTTTCAATTTTGAAAGGTAAAAAATATTCTGGAGATGGTGGTGATGGTTGCACAACAGTGTGAATACTTAATGACAATGAACTTTATATTTAAAAATGGTTAAAATGGTAAACTTTACATTATGTGTCTTTGACCACAATTATTCAAAAGTATATATTAATTCCACAAAAGTTTAAAAAAAGACAAAAAACAAACATCTGAATAAGATAATTTCACTAAGCCCATACTTTCTAAATAAAGCTTTGGCAAATTTCTTACATCTATTAAATATAAAAACATGTAAGACCTGTTTTTCCCTTTTTAATCTATTATGATGGACTTTGGAACTACATAGGAGATTTAGTTAATGGTTTAAAATAGAGCTGCTTAAATTTGGCCTTTGATCAAAAAGCAGTAATTTACTATTTTTGTTATAAAGAACTTTCAAAATGAGTACAATCACGTCTTACCTCTTATTCATACTCTAATTTCTCTGCTCTTTTCTATCGTCTTTCTCTCCTGCGCTCCTCCGTTGCTCCAACACAGTTCTTCAGAAAATCTGAGCTAGCAGTCAGTCACTGTAGGTTGAACCCGTGGACAGGCACCATATCATTAACATTTTCTATGCCTGAGCTGGCAGAAGTAGCTGGGATAGATCAATAACAACTAAGGATTATCAAATTAGGTTGAGAAAATCTGACAAAATCAACTTAAGAAATAACCCTGACTCATATGTACCCTTTCCTCATATTGGCCTCTTAGAAGCAAACCAACAGTTTCTGCCAATGTTTCTGCAGTATTTTTTTCTACGGGACCACAAAGTGGACATTGTATGGAACGTGGCTTCATAGCTCGTTTAACCTCTGTCTCCTGCCAGATGACTTTGCTCATGACTTGTGCGGGTTGTGAGTAAGGCAAATGGATGTGGGCAAAGAGAGCTTACTTGTGATCACCCCTTCAGTGTTTCTGCTCTACTCGACTTGAAACTTTATTTTTAGTTTCTTAGAAGAGGGACAAGGAAAGCAAAACGCTAGGCTACGAGGGTGACAGGGGCTTCTGTTACTGGTTTTGTTGGGGGTGGTGTCGTGTGTTTCCAACGTGAATTTGGGCCCGACTCAATAGTGAATGAGAACTGCTCCAACCTAAGGGAGTGGGGCAGGCTAAGTAAAATGTAACTGCAAAATAAAACGAAATGGGGGGTAATATTTTCATTCCTCAACATAATGAAAAGCCTTGCTTGTAATTGGTTTGTCCTGTCTTGGAAGTGGCGTCCGTGGTCCACAAAGGACCACTCTGTGAGGGATCCGAGAGGAATTTATCATTCCCTCTGGCTGAGCCAACGCAGGCTTGATATACAGTTTTGTTTAGTATAAATATTCTCATGTTACTGTTTACTCTGTGGGGATCCGAGGATCTCACTGACAGGGTACGTGCTCCACGGCCTCGCTTTTAAAAGGCATTTATTTGACTCTGTTGTTTGTACTTGCCCAGAAACTTCAGAGAACGGCCCAGGAACTTGTTTGATAAGCATCCAGACCGTGCTCCGGGAGTATGTCGTGCTCGGGGGTTAGAAAAGCTTATTGTTTTAAGCAGGCCTGCACATGGCCTCGAAGGAGCCCATTTTTCATAGGTAAGAACAATTCAGACACTAACAGCAGTCTCTTAGATTGCTCCTCTCAGCTGTAAGGAGAGAGCCTGCTAAGTGTGGCTCTGGTGGACCTCAGCCTGATGTTGGATTACTCTGTCATTTCCTTTGTCCCTATTTGAAATATTTTGAGGCAATTTAGTTTATTGTGAATTAAGATGTGAGCCAGAGACCTAAACATGGGACGAGTTTCTCATTGTAACTGTGTAGCGTGTGCATTGTCCAGCTATTGTCCTCTAGCCCCATGCCTACCCTTCTGTCCGCTGCTTTATGCCTGTGGGACTCTGCAAACTCTGTTTCTTCTTTGCCAGCTGGTGCCCCATTAGGCTCTGCCAGTGTTGGGTGCTGGGTGGGGAGGCTGTTGGGCTGGAGGAGGAGAGGGCTTGCTCCTTCCTGTTTGCTGCTTGTTTCTGGCAGCCCCACCTAAGCAATAGCAGTTAACCTGGTGGTGGGTGTTGGTTCCAGGCTCCAGCATTTTTTTTTAAATTTATTTTTATTTTTTTTGACTCTTTCAGAGCTAGCCTTGTCATGCCTCTCAGAAGCACCAGCCTTGGCAGTTTTACCACCTCAGAGGTCTGAGACCCAGTGCTGCCAGGCCTCTCCTCTAAGCTTCTAGGCTCTGAGAGCCCAGCCTCCTCTCCTTGTCCCTTCAGCCTCGGGCTCAGTGCTTCCTGCAGTTATATCTCTGGGGCACCATGTTCTCTCCTTGTTCCTTTAGTTCCCCAACAACTGTTGGCCAATTTTTTACAATATTATCTCTTTTTAAATACTTTATGCTTTCTGTTTTCCCTCCTGGATCCTGTCAGAAGTGAACCTATCAGCAGACTAAACCGAAGGAGATGAGAATAAGGCAGAACATATTCAGTGTGGGTGTAGTTACTAATGGAAACAGCCCGTTGATGATCACTCGCCTTTTCTTCTCACTAGCATATTATTCATCTCATTGTTTTCTTCCTGTCGAGTTCTATTCTATCTTCCCTTTCACAGCCTTGCTCTTCGTGCAGTGAGTTGGGCGTCTGAGTGTTGACTTGTGGTAAGACTGGGGTGTATAGTCAGCCATCGGTTGGAGTTTTCACCATTTGAAAGGTAGACTAATATAATTGTAAAATTTAAAGAATTACAGTCTTTTCAGTATTATAATAGTTACTTATCTTCCCTTCTGCACCCATCTGCACCTGCCAGCTGGATGATGCTATTCAGCTGGTGGCAGGAGCCCAGCCTACCAAACCTTCTTCCCCAAACCTTCTTTCCAAAACCTTTCATGCATCATCCTGTTAACTTTTTCTTAGGAAGCCCAATCTGCAACCAGTCACTATTTCCTAACCTCTTAGGTACCTGCATCTTCATGAAGACAAGCTGCTTTGGGCAGAGTAATCATTGTTATTGATGTAGTTTAGCAATGACCCCTTGTTATAAAGCACGTGTAAATAATTTTTGGCAATTGACAAGTATTGCTTTCTGTCTACCCTGAAATTATGTTTAGTAGTTTATCTTCCTTTCTGATACTGCTCCTATGTTTTATGTGGATAAAAGGAAGATAAAATAGCAAGATATAAGGAAAGAAGTCTTCTGTGAACCCTTTCAACATCATGAATTGTAGCTATTTTTAATTAAATTCCAACCAAGTATCAGGTCCTAGCATGTGATTTTCACAACCCGATAGAGTAGGTGACTATGAAGTAATAAAATTCCCCAAGTTCTTTTAGCCTACTGGGTCAGCTAGGAGCTTCCTACTATATATCCCATATCCTGGAGATTTCTACCATTGCCCTAACCTTGAACATCCCTTGGGCCCACATCCTCAGGATGGTAGGCCTCTCCTCCTAGTCTCAGTTGGCTTTTGTCTCTGGTTTCTTGTGATCCAGTTAGAAGCTGGACAACTAATTGGTTGACCCTCCCCTTCTACGGAAGCTGGCTTACCTCAGAATCCTGAAACTTCTTCTAGACCCTGGACCTCTGCAATACTTCTGTAATCTTTCCTCACTTAAAATGTCTTTCTGATCTGTCTTTTGCACAATTATCATCTACTGAGTGATTGCGCATTGATTCTTTCCTGTGCCTGGAAGATCCATCAGCTCCAGAGCTTCCTCCCCTGGACTATCAGTGCCTCCTCTGCAGGCTAGTGCTTTCATTCTGTTAGACACAACTCTGTTTCATCAAGTGAGGAAGTGGAGGCTGAATCCCCACAGATTTCTCCCAGATGAATTTTTCTGGGTCGAGCCACAAAACTTGCTGCAACTAATTGGGAGATTCCTGGAATCAGTCCCACTGTCTTGAAAGAGCCAAGTCAGCCATAGGACCCAAAATGGTCCCCATCAGTATTTAAGTCAGCAAGGAAAATTGCCACCAGATGGTGCCAAAACTGCAGCCAGGACCAGGAGAGATTTGGATTGTGCAAGCCAGTAGTACCCCAGAACTTCTGGCTGGTGGAGTGCGTAGAGTCACTTGGATTATTTCTTTTATTTTGAGTTGACATCTTCACATTTTATGCAATTGTGTTTTTAGGACTTGAGACATTAGGTTGTGACAGGGTTTTATTGCTCTCTTATTTGTCTTGCTGGCTAGACTGTATAGTCCCTGAGGATAAGGCTTTAGTTACGGGTATTTATTGAGTGCTCACTGTATTCAGTGGGACAGATTTACCATGATGCTAATGAAATGTAAGCCGTAGGTGCCCTCACTTCCAT